AATTCTTGAACAGTCTTGGGGCTGATCGAGGACGACTCAACACAGTATCAGATGCAGGAGGCTATGGAGCCTGGGCAGCAGCAAACAATGACCTAGATCAGTGGATTCAAGCCGATCTCGGTTCAGTGAAACGTGTAGTTGGAGTAATAACACAAGGGCGAAGTGGTGGGGGTCAATGGGTTAAAACATACAAAGTTACTTCCAGTACCAATGGTAGCATTTTCACACCAGTATTGGGATCGAGTGGTCAAGTTGAGGTATGTTGTTATGATCAATTTATATAAGACATTATGACGAGTATCATGAAATGCGGAAATGTGTGTTTATCATAATGCCACTACTTTTAGATTTTTAGTGCAAACTCAGATGCAAACACCGAGGTGAGAAACATATTCAGCTCTGTTGTCTACGCCCAATTCATCCGTATCAATCCAATTACCTGGTATGGACACATCAGTTTAAGATTTGAGCTTCTTGGCACAGGTAAACCTTATCTAAGCATGCATTTATTGTAGTAAGTTAAGATAATATAATAATACACATTTCAACTATATCATCTAAAGTCTGATTATAACAACACCAACAGGTACCATAAATATTTTATTATTGCAAAAACCCAAAAAAGAAAGGGTGGGGGGGTCCTCCCCCGGGAAAAGTTTGATTCCTAGATGGCCGGAAATGAGCTTTTCCGACTTCTGAGGTGTCTTTTAATGACCTTTTAAGTTCTTCAAAATTCAAGGTTTTCCCTCTCTTTAAAAAGGTCAGATAATTTTATCTCATTCTTAGGCCTATACATAGAGAAAATAGAAAATAAAAGACATGCAATACAGACCTGTCAACCCATTTGCTGTAAGTCTTACGCATTCCAATCAGATTTGACGGTCTTACGCAAAAACCGACAAAACTTGTGCTTATCCTAAAATTTGAGTAAATTTTGTTTCTTTTTCAATTTGTAACTAATATCCATAATCATAACATTCTATTTTCATGTTTCAATAACTATTGTATCTGAGCTCATTATAAACTCACTAATATCGATTAGATATGCCATCTAAGCCAAAGTGACCCTGACCAGGAACCCTTGGTGACCCCCTGGCTCCCAGCCTCTGTTCTGCCTTGACACTCATTATCTGTCACCCAATATACTCTTTGAAATTTCTCAAGTTTGACAGGTATGGCAATATAAATTATTATATTCCAACAATTGAGTAGTTGAATAGTAGTCTTTCCTCCATGGATCGATAGGCCTGAAGAATGCACTTTCGTACATAAATTATTACAACATTGAACCAAACACAGTGTTTGTTAAATTTATTTTTTTTGAAGGCTAGTTGAGCTTGCCTAGTTTGTCTGATCTGCCAACCTATGCCTAGGAAGGTTAGCATGCCTTTTGTAAGCCAGGACTCGTTAGTATTTTGTTACGTTTCTTCACAGAGGGAGGTTCGTCCGAACCCTTTGAACCCCCCTCCTCCAGATCTGCCACTGATATTAATGTTAGGGAATTATTAACTAGAAGATATAAAGTACCAATATCCCGTTACATTTGACATTAAATCTTTACCTTGCGTGATTTTTAAAGAGTACGAATGTAAATTAGCTAAAATTACGTTAAAAATTAGTGATGAACAATTAGGCTTATTGGTAATATTATGTATATAATTTTTAAATAAAATAGAAATCTCAAGAAATATTTGATCATGCACAACTAATACATTCAATGTCATACCATCCTACTAGGTTGCTATTTGTATTCTTTGGTGAAGATAGGCAAATGTAAGTAAAATACCAAACAAAATTAATGGAAATTGAATAGGCCTACATTATGGTTTCCATAGATTACGTGTCTGAAATTGATTTTAAAGTCTTTGGAAGCTATACTGAAGTTGTGACTCAACTGGTTCAACCTCCATTACCCATCTCCATAACACATAGTGCCGGATTTTAGAAGGCGATGTAATTTAAATTCAATGAAATATGCCAGATTCTTTTAAATACAGTATTGTCTGAAATTACATTCATTGGTTTTATAATATAAATCAATACAATTTATATTTTTAAAATGACATTCCTTTACTACAATCCTTATAATCAATATCTGGATGAACAAAATTTGAATCCTTCATGGGAAATCTATTAGTTAAATATAGCTTTGGGTTCTGTTTATAATTGTTTTCAATTGATAAATATAATGTTTGATAATTGTATCTGTCTGGAGGTATATTATAATATAATTTTTTTTTGAATGATTACTTCTCGCATTTTAAGAAAAGCCTTTAATTACGAAACAAATATAGAACTAAAATTATAACTCTTCCCTTAAGACATCTCTAAATTCATCAGGTGGAGGATTTATACTACCTCAGCTCCACGATGGTTGGGGCAGAGGTAAGAAAAAAATTGCCATTATGGCACATCCAAATGGCTGGAAATTGCACTTCCAGACATAAAATTAGAATTTAATTTTCTTTATATCTCCATTTTGTTTCTTAAAAATCAAACAATTTAGGGGTGGGGCCCAGGCCGATTGGGACCCCTTGAATGTGCCACTGGGTACTTTTGCAGTTGGGGGATCTTCACCTCAGCCCCACCATGGTTGGGGCTGAGGT